TTACGCCCGTAACTCCGCCCCCACCTCGCCTAGCTCCTCCCCCATTTCACGGAGCTCGGCGCCGGCCTCCTGATCCACATCCTGGGCCATCCCTGCGAAGCCACTAGCTCCCGGTAACCCCCACCGTGCACCGTGCTCTATCTCCTAACAGTGATGGCGAACCTATGACACGCGTGTCAGAGGTGACACGCGAACTCATTTTTTTGGTTGATTTTTCTTTGTTAAATGGCATTTAAATATATAAAATATCAAAAATATAAATCTTTGTTTTACTATGGTTGCAAATATCAAAAAATTTCTATATGTGACATGGCACCAGAGTTAAGTTAGGGTTTTTCAAAATACTGACATGCCAAGCTCAAAAGGTTCACCATCACTGTCTCTAGGACCTGAGCCCTCCCCAGAGGGCCATTTTGTAGGGCCCTGCCCCTCTTTGATTGCGTTTTCTTAATTTTCAACAAATGGGAACCCAGGGTTTCCCTGGCTACCTGAGAAGTACAGATTCTCACCCCCACCACCTTTCAGATTCCTGCTCGGTTTACTTTTTCAAAACTGTATACTGCGCATACTATAGTCTCAACACGTGTTTAATTACCTGTTTATTTTCCTCGCTCCTCCCATGTCTCCTCATAGATGGAAGGTACACTTATTAAAACTCCCAGAATCAATCCCTCTGCTTTAGCATGCAAATGAAGCTTTGAAACCCATTAATATTCTAGCTAGGAGACCAGGATTTCTATGCTGATTCTTTTTGAAACAGTATTCACGTAGCATGATCAAACTCAGTGTGCCATGGGGCAAGGGTGGCAGTTGGGGTGGTTAGAGTATAAATGCAGAAATCCTGTCAGATTACATTTTGGTACAAATGTGTTCTATGCTTTCCATATTCTTTGCCAGTAACTTTTTAAAAATGCAAATCATGTCAGAAGGTATAATTCAAGCTTGTCATTATTTTCCTAAGAGTGCAAAAATAACAGATTTCTACAAATATATTTTTGAGCCTTTTAATATACATTACAAATATTTTAAACCAATCACATTTTGTTGTGTGTAACATATTTACAAAACAAAAATATATTACAATAAACATGAATGAATGAAATGGCGAATTTGACCAACAAGAAGCTCTGTCACAACCAGATATTTAAAAGGAATGCAAAAATCTGTTGGTCTGCATATGTTAAGGGTTTTAAGATAAATAGGGCTCCAGAGTTATAACATATTTGGAAAAGAGATAGGGGAACCCAAAATTAAGTTAGGTAAGATTCTTTCTCATTGCTAATTACATAATGTTTAATGATGTTTTAAACTGTGAACAGTGATGAATTACCCAAACATGATACAAAGCTAATATAGTTCTATCATTTCAAAATGTAGGTGGCATTCACATATCCTTTTAATTATTATCATTATATACTGTAGTTCACACAATATCTACAAATGTGAATGAGAATAAAACCAAGTCACAGCAACATGTCTCACATTCCAATTTTAAATAAGACAAGCACATACTGGATCAAACATTATTTTATAATATGTTAATAAATAACACCTAGTTTGTTATGGTTGCCTTGAACAGTTTATAGCTGTATATTTTAAAAGAACATTTTTTGCGAGTTTCACATTGTCAGTAAAAAGTAAAATAGAAAACGAATCCTTTTAACAAAAAAAAAAGGAAAAAAAAGTTCTACATGGAACATGAAGCATTTTTTTCTTTTTTCTAATTTGGAACATAAAGCATTTTGACATGCTGCTTCTCTGGTACAGTTTGCCACATGAAAATTAAAATAGAAAAAAAAATGATTGTCTTGGAAAACAATTTTTGAAAGCTTTTCACAATATTATCATGGGAATCTTTTTGCCCATCTGCTTTGCATATATATACTATGCGCACTGTCTATGTGTGCACCAAAGAGATCTACTACAGTCACAGGATAACAACTGCTTACCTCTTAAAACCACAAACAGCCAAAACAGAGAACTGAAATCCAACCCATTTAAAGTCCATAAAGGTTTCATTCTTGCTTTGCTTTCACAGATGTCCCTGTGTGAATGCTGTTCCTGTGGATCCCCAACAACTTTTAAAACAATAAACCCCACTGATAATCCAAGGAATTCAGTTTACCAACTGGGGAGAGGAACCTAAAAATCTTGACAAGCCATCTCACTGGGTCTGAAGATCAGCCCAGCTTCCTCGCTGCAACTGTACCTGTCTGGTTACGAGTGTTCAGTGTTGTCTTCTACGCTCGCACCACAACCACTCACAAACCTAGAGGGCATTCAGTCCACTCTAGGGATCTGTTCTGATAACTTGTGAATGTGCCAAACTGCTTCAGGACAAGCTAAGAACATGTTCTCGGCTAAGGAAAGGGAAGAGCATTAAGCCTAAGGGCAAAATTAGAAGTTTCTTTCAAATCAGGTTGAGTTGTTGTTATGGTATTAAGACTTCTTTCATTAAGCAACCAGTTTTCTAAAGGGATAGGAAGGTAGCAGCCTACCTTTCTGACCAGGATTAAAAATTTTTACAGAGTGGCTATTTTCTTTATCCAACATTTTCACTAATTTTAAGAGTTTGTGGTCATCACTGGATTGTAGTATAATCACTTCCCACAATTCAAGTTCACTTGCATATGTTAGTCCTCTTGCCCCAAAGTATACAGTGTTATGTTAAAGACCATAGTCAATGTCCGTTAAAAAAAACAAAAACAAAAAACTCGGTGGTTGTATTCCTGGAGTCTAAAGCCGTTGCGCAAATTATATCTTTCCAAGAAAATCTAAAAACCATTAGTTAAAATCCTTCATGTAATCCTGTTATCATGACTTCTGCTCATTAATCCTATTTCCAGACAATGAGATGGGTGTTATGCTTCTGGTGGCCTCTGTTTTCCGTTTCCCCACAATATGCTGAGTAGGTTCCTCAAAGGGCAGGCTGGAATGTTGTAACTCTGTAAGGTCAGCTGACTAAAAAGTCCTCTCCAGCTTTGGACCTTTTATGGTGGGGACTTGAGAAAACAAACATCCACATTCCTTATCAATGAGGAAGTAATTCACGAGTAATTTAACAGTTTAGTACTGGATACATGTTACTGGAGTTTTTGGTTCATCTTTGAAAACCTCAGAACTGACATACACTAAGCATTAGCACAGGTCTGCAGCAGAGATGGAAAAGCTCATAAATTAATACAAGGGCTTTGGGCCTTGATTTTCAAATTCAGACCAGGCATCATTGAGCTCCATGAAAATCATCTTTGCATATTGTTCATAGGGTTGCCCAGTAGCCTATAGAAAAAACAAAACACACATTAGATACCACAGACCAGAATTTTATTTATATTAAATTTTCACTGCTAATATGTGGGCTCTATGCTATTGAAATGTTTTTCTATGAAGCCATTTCTCCTCTTACAGCCCAATCTATGTGCCCCTCATTACTATGACCTCCACAGAATGCCTTCTCCCTAGAAATTCACATAGGGTAGGTCAATGAGTAGATAACAGAGAACTTATTGGGCAGCAAAAGATTATTCTCTATTCTCCAGAAGTTTTCCAGAATTATCTACCAAATGACAAAGGATTATGACAGCCTATCTCTAGTTGATTGTATTCCTAAACTCCCATTTTCCCATTTCTAAAAATAGCTAAGTTCTTGGAGATCCTAAACTTTAGTCACTGGTGATATGCCTCGGTAAGGAAAGCCCCCATTCCGTTATTTGTAATATGTAGTTTAATTTTTTTATCCACTTTATAAAGTTTTTTTAAATACTGGATTTTAGCCCATGGACTTTATTTTATCATATAAATGGCCTAATAACCAGCAAATTGAAAGTCTGTAGTTTTGCCCAGCTGGTGTGGCTCAGTGGTTGTGCATCGACCCATGAACCAGGAAGGAGGTCATGGTTCAATTCCAGTCAGGGCATATACCCAGGTTATGGGCTCGGTCTCCAGTGTGGGGTGTGCAGGAGGCAGCCGGTCAATGATTCTCTCTCATCATTGATGTTTCTCTCTCTCAGCTCTCCCTTCCTCTCTCTGAAATTAATAAAAGCAATATTTTTTTAAAAAAAGAAGGTATGCTGTTTTAATACATGTTTATAAATTAATGAAATGAGGAGCAAACAGGCAATACAGTAGGGTAGGTTATGCTCACTTTGTCTGGATGCACCACCAGCACAGCTCGCCTGTACACCTTCTTCACCTGCTCTGGCGTTACCAGGTCTGCCATGCTGACTGGCTTCCACTTGGTCTCCCCAGCCCACAGCACAGTGTGCATCGTGGAGAGAAGTGCTCTGATATTTCTCTCTTTGCCTTCAATCCATTCCAGAATCTGCAAATGCAGGGGAATTAAGAAATTCAGAAGGTCTCTATTGGGACTCTCGGGAATCCCTCCTGCTCCAGCAACATCAAAGTACCTGAGTCCCCCTGCTACTCCATGCTGCTTCCTCTACCTGGAAAGCTTTTCCACTTTCACTTCCTGCCTTCTCTTTCTGGTTAACTCTTCATCATCCTTCAAAAGCCTGCTGAGGAATTTCACACTGTTCCCCTTTGAGAGTCTGAATTCCTTCCTCTCTGCCCCACCCCAGAGTGAATTATTCATTTCTAAAGTATACACTCCATGGACATACACCATGTCTATTTTGGTCTCTGCTATCCTATTCTGCCTGGTACAGTGTCCGGCAAACTAATATAAAATAAATGCCCCTTGAAAAAAAAGAAAGAATTTCTCCAGGCTACTCCCTTAAATATGTTTCTATCATATG